AACAGCAGTATGTGTTCACGGTGACTTTATATAACAGTAATATGTGTTCATGGAGGTGACTTTATATAACAGTAGTGTGTGTTCACGGAGGTGACTTTATATAACAGCAGTGTGTGTTCACGGAGGTGACTTTATATAACAGCAATGTGTGTTCACGGAGGTGACTTTATATAACAGCAGTGTGTGTTCACGGAGGTGACTTTATATAAGAGCAGTGTGTGTTCACGGAGGTGACTTTATATAACAGCAGTGTGTGTTCACGGAGGTGACTTTATATAACAGCAGTGTGTGTTCACGGAGGTGACTTTATATAACAGCAGTGTGTGTTCACGGAGGTGACTTTATATAACAGCAGTGTGTGTTCACGGAGGTGACTTTATATAACAGCAGTGTGTGTTCACGGAGGTGACTTTATATAACAGCAGTATGTGTTCACGGAGGTGACTTTATATAACAGCAGTGTGTGTTCACTGAGGTGACTTTATATAACAGCAGTGTGTGTTCACGGAGGTGACTTTATATAACAGCAGTATGTGTTCACTGAGGTGACTTTATATAACAGCAGTGTGTGTTCACGGAGGTGACTTTATATAACAGCAGTGTGTGTTCACTGAGGTGACTTTATATAACAGCAGTATGTGTTCACGGAGGTGACTTTATATAACAGCAGTATGTGTTCATGGAGGTGACTTTATATAACAGCAGTATGTGTTCACGGTGACTTTATATAACAGTAATATGTGTTCATGGAGGTGACTTTATATAACAGTAGTATGTGTTCACGGAGGTGACTTTATATAACAGCAGTATGTGTTCACGGAGGTGACTTTATATAACAGCAGTATGTGTTCACGGAGGTGACTTTATATAACAGCAGTATGTGTTCATGGAGGTGACTTTATATAACAGCAGTATGTGTTCACGGTGACTTTATATAACAGTAATATGTGTTCATGGAGGTGACTTTATATAACAGCAGTATGTGTTCACGGTGACTTTATATAACAGTAATATGTGTTCATGGAGGTGACTTTATATAACAGTAGTATGTGTTCACGGAGGTGACTTTATATAACAGCAGTATGTGTTCACGGAGGTGACTTTATATAACAGCAGTATGTGTTCACGGAGGTGACTTTATATAACAGCAGTATGTGTTCACGGTGACTTTATATAACAGTAATATGTGTTCATGGAGGTGACTTTATATAACAGCAGTGTGTGTTCACGGAGGTGACTTTATATAACAGCAGTGTGTGTTCACGGAGGTGACTTTATATAACAGCAGTGTGTGTTCACGGAGGTGACTTTATATAACAGCAGTGTGTGTTCACGGAGGTGACTTTATATAACAGCAGTATGTGTTCACGGAGGTGACTTTATATAACAGCAGTGTGTGTTCACTGAGGTGACTTTATATAACAGCAGTGTGTGTTCACGGAGGTGACTTTATATAACAGCAGTATGTGTTCACTGAGGTGACTTTATATAACAGCAGTGTGTGTTCACGGAGGTGACTTTATATAACAGCAGTGTGTGTTCACTGAGGTGACTTTATATAACAGCAGTATGTGTTCACGGAGGTGACTTTATATAACAGCAGAATGTGTTCATGGAGGTGACTTTATATAACAGCAGTATGTGTTCACGGTGACTTTATATAACAGTAATATGTGTTCATGGAGGTGACTTTATATAACAGTAGTATGTGTTCACGGAGGTGACTTTATATAACAGCAGTATGTGTTCACGGAGGTGACTTTATATAACAGCAGTATGTGTTCACGGAGGTGACTTTATATAACAGCAGTATGTGTTCATGGAGGTGACTTTATATAACAGCAGTATGTGTTCACGGTGACTTTATATAACAGTAATATGTGTTCATGGAGGTGACTTTATATAACAGTAGTGTGTGTTCACGGAGGTGACTTTATATAACAGCAGTGTGTGTTCACGGAGGTGACTTTATATAACAGCAATGTGTGTTCACGGAGGTGACTTTATATAACAGCAGTGTGTGTTCACGGAGGTGACTTTATATAAGAGCAGTGTGTGTTCACGGAGGTGACTTTATATAACAGCAGTGTGTGTTCACGGAGGTGACTTTATATAACAGCAGTGTGTGTGTTCACGGAGGTGACTTTATATAACAGCAGTGTGTGTTCACGGAGGTGACTTTATATAACAGCAGTGTGTGTTCACGGAGGTGACTTTATATAACAGCAGTGTGTGTTCACGGAGGTGACTTTATATAACAGCAGTATGTGTTCACGGAGGTGACTTTATATAACAGCAGTGTGTGTTCACTGAGGTGACTTTATATAACAGCAGTGTGTGTTCACGGAGGTGACTTTATATAACAGCAGTATGTGTTCACTGAGGTGACTTTATATAACAGCAGTGTGTGTTCACGGAGGTGACTTTATATAACAGCAGTGTGTGTTCACTGAGGTGACTTTATATAACAGCAGTATGTGTTCACGGAGGTGACTTTATATAACAGCAGTATGTGTTCATGGAGGTGACTTTATATAACACTTATATAACAGTAATATGTGTTCATGGAGGTGACTTTATATAACAGTAGTATGTGTTCACGGAGGTGACTTTATATAACAGCAGTATGTGTTCACGGAGGTGACTTTATATAACAGCAGTATGTGTTCACGGAGGTGACTTTATATAACAGCAGTATGTGTTCATGGAGGTGACTTTATATAACAGCAGTATGTGTTCACGGTGACTTTATATAACAGTAATATGTGTTCATGGAGGTGACTTTATATAACAGTAGTGTGTGTTCACGGAGGTGACTTTATATAACAGCAGTGTGTGTTCACGGAGGTGACTTTATATAACAGCAGTATGTGTTCACGGAGGTGACTTTATATAACAGTAGTATGTGTTCACGGAGGTGACTTTATATAACAGCAGTGTGTGTTCACGGAGGTGACTTTATATAACAGCAGTGTGTGTTCACGGAAGTGACTTAATATAACAGCAGTATGAACACACTCGAAGCAGTTGCAAAAGGGCACAGGAGCATGACAACCCATATATTCACAAGCACAGAGTCCCTCATTGTCAACCCTGGTGTAGTCCTGGTTTAGTCCTGGTGTAGTCCTGGTTTAGTCCTGGTTTAGTCCTGGTTTAGTCCTGGTGTAGTCCTGGTTTAGTCCTGGTTTAGTCCTGGTTTAGTCCTAGTTTAGTCCTGGTTTAGTCCTGGTTTAGTCCTAGTTTAGTCCGAGTTTAGTCCTGGTTTAGTCCTAGTTTAGTCCTGGTTTAGTCCTGGTTTAGTCCTGGTTTAGTCCTAGTTTAGTCCGAGTTTAGTCCTGGTTTAGTTCTAGTTTAGTCCTGGTTTAGTCCTGGTTTAGTCCTGGTTTAGTCCTGATTTAGTCCTAGTTTAGTCCTAGTTTAGTCCTAGTTTAGTCCTGGTTTAGTCCTGGTTTAGTCCTGGTGTAGCTCCTGTTTCGTCCGTTTACAGTATGTTCAGTCTGCTCGCTCAGTCCGCTAATGTCCCCGTGACCACTTTGCTGCTCTCTGATTGGTCGCTGCATGAACGTCCCGAGGAAAGGATGAGCAAAGTTTATCTCCTGTGGGCGTCGTTTTTCTGCTCCTGCTCCTCCCCTTTGACTTTCCCGCCAAGTCTGTGTGTGTGTGTCTACTGAACAGTCTGTGTGTGTCTACTGAACAGTCTGTGTGTGTCTACTGAACAGTCTGTGTGTGTCTACTGAACAGTCTGTGTGTGTCTACTGAACAGTCTGTGTGTGTCTACTGAACAGTCTGTGTGTGTCTACTGAACAGTCTGTGTGTGTCTACTGAACAGTCTGTGTGTGTCTACTGAACAGTCTGTGTGTGTCTACTGAACAGTCTGTGTGTGTCTACTGAACAGTCTGTGTGTGTCTACAGTCTGTGTGTGTCTACAGTCTGTGTGTGTCTACTGAACAGTCTGTGTGTGTCTACAGTCTGTGTGTGTCTACTGAACAGTCTGTGTGTGTCTACTGAACAGTCTGTGTGTGTCTACAGTCTGTGTGTGTCTACTGAACAGTCTGTGTGTGTCTACAGTCTGTGTGTGTCTACTGAACAGTCTGTGTGTGTCTACTGAACAGTCTGTGCGTGTCTACTGAACAGTCTGTGTGTGTCTACTGAACAGTCTGTGTGTGTCTACTGAACAGTCTGTGTGTGTCTACTGAACAGTCTGTGTGTGTCTACTGAACAGTCTGTGTGTGTCTACTGAACAGTCTGTGTGTGTCTACTGAACAGTCTGTGTGTGTCTACTGAACAGTCTGTGTGTGTCTACTGAACAGTCTGTGTGTGTCTACTGAACAGTCTGTGTGTGTGTGCCGAGCGGTCCGTGCGTTGTGACGCTCGACCACGAGTCACCATAGACTTTGCATTGAAACCCGACGCAACGCATGATCCGGTCTGAAAGCACCATAAAACAGTCTAAATCAGTCTAAAACAGTCTAAATCAGTCTAAATCAGTCTAAAACAGTCTAAATCAGTCTAAAACAGTCTAAATCAGTCTAAAACAGTCTAAAACAGTCTAAATCAGTCTAAAACAGTCTAAAACAGTCTAAAACAGTCTAAATCAGTCTAAAACAGTCTAAATCAGTGTAACTCATATTGATCTAAAATAACGCTGCATATTTCTGCTCTCGCTCTCTTCAGCGGACGGTGAACTTTCGCCCTGACGCTGGGACAGAATCAAACGCAGATGATTAAACAACGGTTTTTGGTCTGGATGAAGTTAGAGAAATTTGCAGCAGGAGCTTTTTCCCAAACATCAAACAACACAAATATAAATCCATGACTCTCTCAGTTCTTGGAAAATGCTCCGTGAGATTTCCACAGTTTTCCACAACAATGATTACAGTCTGATTATGCTGCTCCAGACGCCGAGATGAGGCGAGTCCAGACGCCGAGATACAGACGGGTCCAGACGCCGAGATGAGTCCAGACGCTGAGATACAGACGAGTCCAGACGCCGAGATGAGATGAGTCCAGACGCCGAGATACAGATGAGTCCAGACGCCGAGATACTGACGAGTCTAGACGCCGAGATACAGACGGGTCCAGACGCCGGGATACAGACGAGTCCAGACGCCGAGATACAGACGGGTCCAGACGCAGAGATACAGACGGGTCCAGACGTCGAGATACAGACGAGTCCAGACGCAGAGATACAGACGGGTCCAGACGTCGAGATACAGATGAGTCCAGACGCTGAGATGAGATGAGTCCAGACGCCGAGATACAGACGAGTCTAGACGCAGAGATACAGATGAGTCCAGACGCTGAGATGAGATGAGTCCAGACGCCGAGATACAGACGAGTCTAGACGCAGAGATACAGATGAGTCCAGACGCTGAGATGAGATGAGTCCAGACGCAGAGATACAGACGAGTCCAGACGCCGAGATACAGACGAGTCCAGACGCCGAGATACAGACGGATCCAGACGCAGAGATACAGACGGGTCCAGACGCCGAGATACAGACGGATCCAGACGCAGAGATACAGACGAGTCTAGACGCAGAGATACAGACGAGTCCAGACGCCGAGATACAGACGGATCCAGACGCCGAGATACAGACGAGTCCAGACGCCGAGATACAGACGGGTCCAGACGCCGGGATACAGACGAGTCCAGACGCCGAGATACAGACGGGTCCAGACGCAGAGATACAGACGGGTCCAGACGTCGAGATACAGACGAGTCCAGACGCAGAGATACAGACGGGTCCAGACGTCGAGATACAGATGAGTCCAGACGCTGAGATGAGATGAGTCCAGACGCCGAGATACAGACGAGTCTAGACGCAGAGATACAGATGAGTCCAGACGCTGAGATGAGATGAGTCCAGACGCCGAGATACAGACGAGTCTAGACGCAGAGATACAGATGAGTCCAGACGCTGAGATGAGATGAGTCCAGACGCAGAGATACAGACGAGTCCAGACGCCGAGATACAGACGAGTCCAGACGCCGAGATACAGACGGATCCAGACGCAGAGATACAGACGGGTCCAGACGCCGAGATACAGACGGATCCAGACGCAGAGATACAGACGAGTCTAGACGCAGAGATACAGACGAGTCCAGACGCCGAGATACAGACGGATCCAGACCATAGACTGTATATATTAACGGACAGAGTCACGTCTATCTCCGCCGTTCATAGGAGAAGGGCCATGAAAAGTGCTTTCATGGAGCAATCCAAGATGGCCGCGAGTGGTCCCGCCCACAAGAAAATTGTGAAAAAACGCATCTGCGCATGCGTCAGCCGGCGCAGCTCCATTCATTTGAACGAGAGACTTAAAAAATTCCCCGCGAGTAAACTAGAGTGGACCAAAAAAATTCACCCCCCTCAGCATTGACACACATGTGGAACGGAGCTTTGGGCCAAGAGACAACTTTTGGTCCATCCTGTAAAGACGTTTGAGAGGTAAGAAGATGCTATATGTTAGCATTGGCTAATTCTACTTCTGGGTCCACCCCCACAGGCCCGGGGTGGTACTGCAGCATGTCAGCGCACGTCATTTTGGCCACTTTTGAGCCGGGACCCTCCCCCACTGGTCCAGACGCCGAGATGAGACGAGTCCAGACGCTATGTGTGTATCGCTACTACAGTCTCAGTCCTGGGTCTACAGCCTCAGTCCTGGGTCTACAGCCTCAGTCCTGGGTCTACAGCCTCAGTCCTGGGTCTACAGCCTCAGTCCTGGGTCTACATCCTCAGTCCTGGGTCTACAGCCTCAGTCCTGGGTCTACAGCCTCAGTCCTGGGTCTACAGCCTCAGCTCTCTGCTCCTTATGGACCAATGTCTCTGTGTTTTTATTACCATTGCATTTCCTGTGTTGTAACTGTCTGATTCTCTGATCTGCGTTGGAGAATCGACAGCTTTGTAAGGTCCTCTGAGATAGCTGCTGTTGTGATTTCGGGCGACGCAAAAACACAGAGTTGTGCGCTGGTGTTTGGCGTGTGTGTGTTTGCTCGGGACATTTGCGTTTCTGCTGCTGACTACGTGACAGAAGTGACGTCTCGCTGCTAAGAGATGTTTTATCAGACTCACATGGTCCTCACACATTTCACACCAACTCCCCACATCCCAAACACCGGCCCAGGTCCGGAGGCCAGGGTCCGGAGGCCAGGGTCCGGAGGCCAGGGTCCGGGGGTGAGGCAGAGCGAGAGGACCAGTGGGAGGACCAGAGAGGGACCAGGGGGAGAGGGCCTCCCCGCTGCAGAGGCATTTTACAACAACATGAAACAATATAAAACATATTTCAATATAGTTCCTCGCTCTCAAACTTTACTTCTACCAATAGTTTTCATATGATCTCTCTCTGGTCTCTCTCTGGTCTCTCTGGTCTCTCTCTACTCTCCCTCTGGTCTCTCACTGGTCTCTCTCTGGTCTCTCTCTGGTCTCTCTCTGGTCTCTCTCTGGTCTCTCTGGTCTCTCTCTGGTCTCTCTCTGGTCGCTCTCTGGTCTCTCTCTGGTCTCTCTCTGGTCTCTCTCTGGTCTCTCTCTCTGGTCTCTCTCTGGTCTCTCTCTGGTCTCTCTCTGGTCTCTCTGGTCTCCCTCTGGTCTTTCGCTGGTCTCTCTCTGGTCTCTCTCTGGTCTCTCTCTGGTCTCTCTCTGGTCTCCCTCTGGTCTCTCTCTGGTCTCTCTCTGGTCTTTCTCTGGTCTCTCTCTGGTCTTTCTCTGGTCTCTCTCTGGTCTTTCTCTGGTCTCTCTCTGGTCTCTGTTTCTCTGATAGAAAATCTGCCCTTTCTTCTTGCCAAAAGTCCCTCAGATCTAGTAAATTCCTGGTCTGTCTTGCATGAACTGCAGATGTGAGCCTGCAGGGGGCGCTCTCCCTCAGGCCACACACCTGTATACAGTGGACTAAATGCACCAGACACTTCCTGTTGACTTGTTCCTGCTGATTTATAGTCCTATTGTCATCGTTGTGTTGTTAGCCGCGGCGCTAGCACTTCCACAGCTACGCTAATGAACCGGACACGGTGTTAGCCTGTCGTGTGACATCACTGTGTTTGGTCTTTGTTGTGTCTGTCGCCGCGGAAACATCTGAGATCATCGCTGTCACGACAGGAGGTGACGAGTCTGTGTGTGTGTGTGTGTGTGTGTGTGTGTGTGTGTCCATCCATCCATTTTCTTCCCTTTAATCCATTTCTGGGTCAGGGGGGTGGCAGTCAGAGATGCACCAGCCCCTCACTGACCCTCTGCAGGTGGTGAGTCCACAGGAGGACGGCTGCTCTCTGAGTGTGAGCAGAGCCTTGATCTTTCAGTGGGGGCTTTGGGCAAAGTGGGGTTAAGTGTCTTGCCCAAGGACACAACGACAGCAGTCATCAGTGGGAGTCGGTGGAGAAGGTGCAGAGGTGGGAATTGAACCCACGACCTGAAGGTCGTGGGTTCAATGCGTGTGTGTGTGCGACATGCACACACACATTTATGGAAAAAAAATAAATAAAAATGTGTGTGTGTTTGTGTTTGCAGATACGTGTGTGTGTGTGTTTGCTGATACGTGTGTGTGTGTGTGTTTGCAGATACATGTGTGTGTGTGTGTTTGCAGATACATGTGTGTGTGTGTGTTTGCAGATACATGTGTGTGTGTGTGTTTGCTGATACGTGTGTGTGTGTGTGTTTGCAGATACGTGTGTGTGTGTGTTTGCAGATACGTGTGTGTGTGTGTTTGCTGATACGTGTGTGTGTGTGTGTTTGCAGATACATGTGTGTGTGTGTGTTTGCAGATACATGTGTGTGTGTGTTTGCAGATATGTGTGTGTGTGTGTGTTTGCAGATACATGTGTGTGTGTGTGTTTGCAGATACATGTGTGTGTGTGTTTGCAGATATGTGTGTGTGTGTGTGTTTGCAGATACATGTGTGTGTGTGTTTGCAGATATGTGTGTGTGTGTGTGTTTGCAGATACATGTGTGTGTGTGTGTTTGCAGATACATGTGTGTGTGTGTTTGCAGATATGTGTGTGTGTGTGTGTTTGCAGATACATGTGTGTGTGTGTGTTTGCTGATACGTGTGTGTGTGTGTGTTTGCAGATACATGTGTGTGTGTGTGTTTGCAGATACATGTGTGTGTGTGTTTGCAGATATGTGTGTGTGTGTGTGTTTGCAGATACATGTGTGTGTGTGTGTTTGCAGATACATGTGTGTGTGTGTGTTTGCAGATACATGTGTGTGTGTGTGTTTGCAGATACATGTGTGTGTGTGTGTTTTGCAGATACATGTGTGTGTGTGTTTGCAGATATGTGTGTGTGTGTGTTTGCAGATACATGTGTGTGTGTGTGTTTGCAGATACATGTGTGTGTGTGTTTGCTGATACGTGTGTGTGTGTGTGTTTGCAGATACATGTGTGTGTGTGTGTTTGCAGATACATGTGTGTGTGTGTTTGCAGATACATGTGTGTGTGTGTGTTTGCAGATATGTGTGTGTGTGTGTTTGCAGATACATGTGTGTGTGTGTGTTTGCAGATACATGTGTGTGTGTGTTTGCAGATACATGTGTGTGTGTGTGTTTGCAGATATGTGTGTGTGTGTGTTTGCAGATATGTGTGTGTGTGTGTTTGCAGATATGTGTGTGTGCTCACAGAGACACGTGTGATTGACAGATGTTAAAGATACAGATCTACTGCATGTACACACAGTGTGGGCGGGTCCCGGCTCAAAAGTGTCCAAAATGACGTGCGCTGACATGCTGCAGTACCACCCCGGGCCTGTGGGGGTGGACCCTGGCATGCACTGGCATCCACTGCAGCATGCCAGGTGGACCCTGGCATGCTGCAGTACCACCCCGGGCAGTACCCCACCGGACATGTGGACCCGGACATGTGTCCGGGTCCACATGTCCGGGTCCCCCACATGTGGACCCGGACATGCTGCAGTACCACCCCGGGCCTGTGGGGGTGGACCCTGACATGCTGCAGTACCACCCCGGGCCTGTGGGGGTGGACCCGGACATGCTGCAGTACCACCCCGGGCCTGTGGGGGTGGACCCTGACATGCTGCAGTACCACCCCGGGCCTGTGGGGGTGGACCCGGACATGCTGCAGTACCACCCCGGGCCTGTGGGGTTGGACCCTGACATGCTGCAGTACCACCCCGGGCCTGTGGGGGTGGACCCGGACATGCTGCAGTACCACCCCGGGCCTGTGGGGGTGGACCCTGACATGCTGCAGTACCACCCCGGGCCTGTGGGGGTGGACCCTGACATGCTGCAGTACCACCCCGGGCCTGTGGGGGTGGACCCTGACATGCTGCAATACCACCCCGGGCCTGTGGGGGTGGACCCTGACATGCTGCAGTACCACCCCGGGCCTGTGGGGGTGGACCCGGGATAAGAATTAGCCAATGCTAACATATAGCATATGCAGACCTCTGGAAAACGTCTTTACAGGATGGACCAAAAGTTGGCTCTTGGCCCAAAGCTCCGTTCCACATGTGTGTCAATGCTGAGTGTTCTGGACCAGTCTAGTTTAGTCGCTGTGGATTCTTGAAGTCTCTCGTTCAAATGAATGGAGCTCTCTCCGGCTGACGCATGCAGAGATGCGTTTTTTCACAATTTTCTCGTGGGCGGGACCACACGCGGCCATTTTGGATTGCTCCAGTAGAGCACATTTTTGGCCCATTAGTTAGAACGGCGGAGATAGATATACAGTCTGTGGTACAGATCTACTGCATGGGCAACAGTAGCTCAGTTGGTCGAGCCTTTGAGCCTGGAGGTTGTGGGTTCAAGCCCGCTATGGGACCTACTCCAATCGCTCCCACAAATTTCTACTGTCGTTGTGTACTTGGGCAAGACACTTAACCCCACGTTGCCTGAAGTCCCCGCTGAAAGACTGAGGCTGTTTCACCGCTGACGGAGCAGGCATTTTCCTTGGACCCACCACCTGCAGGACTGAGGCTGTAGACCCAGGACTGAGGCTGTAGACCCAGGACTGAGGCTGTAGACCCAGGACTGAGACTGTAGACCCAGGACTGAGGCTGTAGACCCAGGACTGAGGCTGTAGACTCAGGACTGAGGCTGTAGACCCAGGACTGAGGCTGTAGATCCAGGACTGAGGCTGTAGACCCAGGACTGAGGCTGTAGACCCAGGACTGAGGCTGCAGACCCAGGACTGAGGCTGTAGACCCAGGACTGAGGCTGTAGACTCAGGACTGAGGCTGTAGACCCAGGACTGAGGCTGTAGACCCAGGACTGAGGCTGTAGACCCAGGACTGAGGCTGTAGACTCAGGACTGAGGCTGTAGACCCAGGACTGAGGCTGTAGACCCAGGACTGAGGCTGTAGACCCAGGACTGAGGCTGTAGACCCAGGACTGAGGCTGTAGACCCAGGACTGAGGCTGTAGACCCAGGACCGAGGCTGTAGACCCAGGACTGAGGCTGTAGACCCAGGACTGAGGCTGTAGACCCAGGACTGAGGCTGTAGACCCAGGACTAAGGCTGTGTAGACCCAGGACTGAGGCTGTAGACCCAGGACTTGAGGCTGTAGACCCAGGACTGAGGCTGTAGACCCAGGACTGAGGCTGTGTAGATCCAGGACTGAGGCTGTAGACCCAGGACTGAGGCTGTAGACCCAGGACTGAGGCTGTAGACCCAGGACTGAGGCTGTAGACCCAGGACTGAGGCTGCAGACCCAGGACTGAGGCTGTAGACCCAGGACTGAGGCTGTAGACTCAGGACTGAGGCTGTAGACCCAGGACTGAGGCTGTAGACCCAGGACTGAGGCTGTAGACCCAGGACTGAGGCTGTAGACTCAGGACTGAGGCTGTAGACCCAGGACTGAGGCTGTAGACCCAGGACTGAGGATAGACCCAGGACTGAGGCTGTAGACCCAGGACTGAGGCTGTAGATCCAGGACTGAGGCTGTAGACCCAGGACCGAGGCTGTAGACCCAGGACTGAGGCTGTAGACCCAGGACTGAGGCTGTAGACCCAGGACTGAGGCTGTAGACCCAGGACTGAGGCTGTAGACCCAGGACTGAGGCTGTAGACCCAGGACTGAGGATAGACCCAGGACTGAGGCTGTAGACCCAGGACTGAGGCTGTAGACCCAGGACTGAGGCTGTGTAGACCCAGGACTGAGGCTGTAGACCCAGGACTGAGGCTGTAGACCCAGGACTGAGGCTGTGTAGATCCAGGACTGAGGCTGTAGACCCAGGACTGAGGCTGTAGACCCAGGACTGAGGCTGTAGACCCAGGACTGAGGCTGTAGACCCAGGACTGAGGCTGTAGACCCAGGACTGAGGCTGTAGACCCAGGACTGAGGCTGTAGACCCAGGACTGAGGCTGTAGACCCAGGACTGAGGCTGTAGACCCAGGACTGAGGCTGTAGACCCAGGACTGAGGCTGTAGACCCAGGACTGAGGCTGTAGACCCAGGACTGAGGCTGTAGACCCAGGACTGAGGCTGTAGACCCAGGACTAAGGCTGTGTAGACCCAGGACTGAGGCTGTAGACCCAGGACTGAGGCTGTAGACCCAGGACTGAGGCTGTAGACCCAGGACTGAGGCTGTGTAGATCCAGGACTGAGGCTGTAGACCCAGGACTGAGGCTGTAGACCCAGGACTGAGGCTGTAGACCCAGGACTGAGGCTGTAGACCCAGGACTGAGGCTGCAGACCCAGGACTGAGGCTGTAGACCCAGGACTGAGGCTGTAGACTCAGGACTGAGGCTGTAGACCCAGGACTGAGGCTGTAGACCCAGGACTGAGGCTGTAGACCCAGGACTGAGGCTGTAGACTCAGGACTGAGGCTGTAGACCCAGGACTGAGGCTGTAGACCCAGGACTGAGGATAGACCCAGGACTGAGGCTGTAGACCCAGGACTGAGGCTGTAGATCCAGGACTGAGGCTGTAGACCCAGGACCGAGGCTGTAGACCCAGGACTGAGGCTGTAGACCCAGGACTGAGGCTGTAGACCCAGGACTGAGGCTGTAGACCCAGGACTGAGGCTGTAGACCCAGGACTGAGGATAGACCCAGGACTGAGGCTGTAGACCCAGGACTGAGGCTGTAGACCCAGGACTGAGGCTGTAGACCCAGGACTGAGGCTGTGTAGACCCAGGACTGAGGCTGTAGACCCAGGACTGAGGCTGTGTAGATCCAGGACTGAGGCTGTAGACCCAGGACTGAGGCTGTAGACCCAGGACTGAGGCTGTAGACCCAGGACTGAGGCTGTAGACCCAGGACTGAGGCTGTAGACCCAGGACTGAGGCTGTAGACCCAGGACTGAGGCTGTAGACCCAGGACTGAGGCTGTAGACCCAGGACTGAGGCTGTAGACTCAGGGCCAATGTAATTTAAGGTATTCTTTAACTTTCTTAATGAAATTAAAAGTAAACAGTGTGTTTACCATCTTTAATGTTTTGCTCCTGGTCTGTTTTTGTCGATGACCCTAAAGAGAACAATCCAAACAACTTCAAATACATTCTTTAAGGAGTAAAACTCTCGCGGACTCTGAAATATTAACATCTGGAATTTTATTAAACCATTTCTTTGTGGACTCTGGACGGGACCCCAGCTTGAGACGCGCCAAAGTTCACAGAAATTAGCGACGTGTTGTTAGCACTTATTATAATCATGAAGATCGTCCAATGAAACCGGAGCCGCGTCCCGGGCTCTGCGCAGCTTTCAGACACCAGAGAGAACAGAACCAGGAGAGAGAACAAAACCAGGAGAGAACAGAACCAGGAGAGAGAACAAAACCAGGAGAGAACAGAACCAGGAGAGAGAACAAAACCAGGAGAGAACAGAACCAGGAGAGAGAACAAAACCAGGAGAGAACAGAACCAGGAGAGAGAACAAAAGCAGGAGAGAACAGAACCAGGAGAGAGAACAAAACCAGGAGAGAACAGAACCAGGAGAGAGAACAAAACCAGGAGAGAACAGAACCAGGAGAGAGAACACAACCAGGAGAGAACAGAACCAGGAGAGAGAACAAAACCAGGAGAGAACAGAACCAGGAGAGAACACAACCAGGAGAGAACACAACCAGGAGAGAGAACAAAACCAGGAGAGAACAGAACCAGGAGAGAACACAACCAGGAGAGAACAAAACCAGGAGAGAGAACAAAACCAGGAGAGAACAGAACCAGGAGAGAACACAACCAGGAGAGAACAAAACCAGGAGAGAACACAACCAGGAGAGAACAAAACCAGGAGAGAACACAACCAGGAGAGAGAACAAAACCAGGAGAGAACAGAACCAGGAGAGAACACAACCAGGAGAGAACACAACCAGGAGAGACAACAAAAGCAGGAGAGAACAAAACCAGGAGAGAGAACAAAACCAGGAGAGAACAGAACCAGGAGAGAGAACAAAAGCAGGAGAGAACAGAACCAGGAGAGAGAACAAAACCAGGAGAGAACAAAACCAGGAGAGAACAGAACCAGGAGAGAGAACAAAACCAGGAGAGAACACAACCAGGAGAGAACAAAACCAGGAGAGAACACAACCAGGAGAGAGAACAAAACCAGGAGAGAACACAACCAGGAGAGAACAAAACCAGGAGAGAACACAACCAGGAGAGAGAACAAAACCAGGAGAGAACAGAACCAGGAGAGAACAAAACCAGGAGAGAACACAACCAGGAGAGAGAACAAAACCAGGAGAGAACAGAACCAGGAGAGAGAACAAAAGCAGGAGAGAACAGAACCAGGAGAGAGAACAAAACCAGGAGAGAACACAACCAGGAGAGAACAAAACCAGGAGAGAACAGAACCAGGAGAGAACAGAACCAGGAGAGAGAACAAAAGCAGGAGAGAACAGAACCAGGAGAGAGAACAAAACCAGGAGAGAACAGAACCAGGAGAGAACAAAACCAGGAGAGAACACAACCAGGAGAGAGAACAAAACCAGGAGAGAACAGAACCAGGAGAGAACACAACCAGGAGAGAACACAACCAGGAGAGACAACAAAAGCAGGAGAGAACAAAACCAGGAGAGAGAACAAAACCAGGAGAGAACAGAACCAGGAGAGAGAACAAAAGCAGGAGAGAACAGAACCAGGAGAGAGAACAAAACCAGGAGAGAACAAAACCAGGAGAGAACAGAACCAGGAGAGAGAACAAAACCAGGAGAGAACACAACCAGGAGAGAACAAAACCAGGAGAGAACACAACCAGGAGAGAGAACAAAACCAGGAGAGAACAGAACCAGGAGAGAACAAAACCAGGAGAGAACACAACCAGGAGAGAGAACAAAACCAGGAGAGAACAGAACCAGGAGAGAGAACAAAAGCAGGAGAGAACAGAACCAGGAGAGAGAACAAAACCAGGAGAGAACACAACCAGGAGAGAACAAAACCAGGAGAGAACAGAACCAGGAGAGAACAGAACCAGGAG